TATGCATTATTGTTATGCACAAAAAAATGAACGACCGAATTATTTGCTTGAGTCATTATAGTGAAAATTTAGGATTTAACTAAATAAAAAATGCATATACAATACCTGGAACGAGGAAAATTGATTCCGTGTCACGAAATCAATGAAAATTCATCTGATGAAGTGGCCCGCAAAATTGAACAATTTTCAAGACAAAAATTTCATCAACACTAGGAAGTTGAAAAATGACTCGTACAGAGCAGTTTAGGGCTATCATCTCGGAAACTCCACCATGCAAGAAATAATCTCATCTATTATATTTAAAAATTGATCCATTTTCTCGTACATCGAAGTGATTACTGAAGCTTCTCCTGAAAATCAAGTATTTATCGATGAGTGTCAGTGTACCATAAACGCGCTTGACAAGAAGGAGCAAGTGAACCAAAAGGTCTGCATCAATAAAATCAATGTCAACCTTCTAACCATCGAACATGTCATCCTGTGACAGATTCCAATGCCCCTCATTTCGTTCCAGAATGAGTATGATAATTTTGTGTAGAATTCCTGAGTGTTTCTACGACGTCTGGAGTTGAAAAGGTGATAAGGTCAATGGGCTATAAGAGAATCGCGAACAACTGTCACTTGAGTGTGAATCTTTAATTTATCAAAGGGAATACGACATCATGCGTTGTGTTTTAAATTCAAATGGAAGCAATTTCAGAATATACTGTACCCAGATTTTTTCAAGTAAAGGTATCCTCATGCATGTATAATGTCCGTTATTTCCGGCTTTTTCTACTGATTTCCTACAGTTTTGGTCAGCTCTGGTCAAAGCAAATATTAATTCAACTGTAATGTTGTATCTAGAATCTAGATAGAACAGCTTCGTACAGTTATTATAGTACTTATGATATCAGATGAAAGCTCATTACATAATTCAGTGCACCAGATAATTGAAGAAAAATAGAGTTTATGACAAACAGAAAAATACTGAGAATGCAGGAATTTCAACCACGAGCAAGGTTTTTTCAGCAATTATTTTGCAAACAGAGAAAAAAAATATTGAAATTTTCCCAACTTAGGCTTTGGTTCTCAGTTGAGTTTTTTCTTCAATTTCAGTGCTCTTGGGCACAAACGTTTTCAAAAATATCTTAACTTTGCTTCAGAAAGGTTAAATTACTATTTCCCTCGTGATGAGCACCTGATTGAGTTTTTGAAATAATTGTGAGTAGTTGTCAGGTTCAAAAGTTGAGTGATGCCACAAAATCCCTGAAAAGGAATATATTAGAAGCAGTTTAGGAGTATATATGCAGCTTGTGGGCAATAAAACATGAAACGTTCTCTTAAGATACATGATCAGTTTATATGACGATACTATAAGGAGAGAAATGAAAGACAGCATTCTACTATGACGTTTTCTGAGAGACTGAATTTATTCCTGGATTTCAAGAATAAATGTTCACCATCAAAAGCGTCACCACATGAGAGAAAATTAAATCAAAGATAAAACACCCATACACCCTACACTCCGGCATATTTAAGATTCAAACCACAGAGCTGTGTGAAAAATCATGATGAAATAATTCGGAACCTCTAAAAAAAATGGATTCATTTATCTAAAAATCACTGCCCTTGTTATCTGGATTAAGACATTCGGATCCAAATTTAATTTTAGCTTAGTGACTTTACAGGAATTTGATTTTCTTTTATGTTTATTGAGACCCCGAGGAAAAGGCTATTTATTTAATTCTCCCTCTGCGGCAAGCAAAATCAAATTTAGTTCGAAGTAACAAGCAATAATCACAGATAATTTCACGGGTAACAGCACCCAACATGAAGTAGCCACGAACTTCCTATGTACCCGTCGCTTTAGACATTTATTACATAATTCCTCGCCGCGTTTTAATTGACAACCCCTGCCTGACTCTCATCGAAGCGTACGTTTTCGCCCTCAGGGTTCGTCAAAGAATCAACATCAAGAACGCGTGGCGTCCCAACTAGGCAATTCCTGCTGACATATAGAGATAGAACGTCCAGTATAGTATTTGCAGATCTGGTTCAAAGAGGAAAAGGGGCTGAAGCCATGGGGAAATCGAACCCGGCGGGCAATCAGTGCCCAGCGGCGAACGGGAACGACCGCATCCCAAAAAGGGGCCTGTCTGTATATGTAGCAGAGTCTCCCGAGGGGCAAAGTCCCGAGTCTATGACTAAGTCCTTCCTCGTGTTCGGAAACGTGTTTGCAAAGGCGATTGATTGCTACATTCTATTACATTTTAACGATCGCGGGATATGCGACGGATGGGAAGTGCGATGATGAATAATCTACGAATTCTGGGATATGTGAATGATGGATTCGAAACATTAGTGGGAAATGGTACTTCGGCGAGTTTTCTCGGAGCCGTTTGTTGGCTCTCGTTGACCCGGAATTTCCGTCGGAGTTAACGATTTATGATTGATTAATGAGTTTTCTGGCGAAAAAAAGAAAACGCTACAAGAAACAGTGTGGGATGTACCAGTACACGGAAGCAAGTTCTGCAAAAAAAAAAGACAGCAAGAACAACTTCCCAGCAGAATATTGAATTATCGCGGAACGTGAGAGACCGGTTTTGTGAAAGACATTTTTCATTCCCTGCCTAGTTTCCTAAGTGACCATGTTTTCAAAAATGTGGGACCTCTCAAAAGTTCGACCGAAAAAAGTTTTTTTAAAGTTATAAATAGGTAAAACGAACATCGACGTTCGGTAAACGATCTTTTCAAGTACGATATCCCACATCTATTCATGAGACATGCGTTGACTGTTTATTGTAGAATTGTGTCAACATGTACGATATTTCAAAGATATTTTTGCGAAAATACGTTCATCCCCTTTTTTTAGGTTCATTATTTAGTTTTCTTACTGTATAAATTCGTGCTTGAATATAAAATTTCGCTGATTGAGCTCGTTTAGATCGTTTGAGCAATGCTAAAAAAGTTTGAATAATATGTGAGATTATGCGACGAGAAAATGGGATTAAAACTTTTCCAGGACATCGATTGATAATAACCTGGTTCTATGGTATGCCTTTACGGGACATTAGGAATAATGCACGCATTATATATGACGTTTTTTTCTTTAAATGATAACATTATCAAGGAACTTGTCCAGAATTAAGAAACCCTCAAGAAAAAACGGCACCACTCATCATAGTTACGGTTTAACGACGCTTTCTTATTACCTGATAATATATTTCCGGAGCCAGAATGAAGAAACGGTTTCCAAAAAAAGCCGTGTCAAATCATCCTGCTGTTTGATGTACGCAGAAAATGTAAGTTTGCGATAGTTTTAAATTATGCAAAAAGTGAGGGAGGGGATTGCCTTTTAATGGTCAATTTTCCGAATATATCGAAGCAAATTTTACATGGCGGTTCAACGAAAATTTAAATTCAATCGTGCGACACGATCGAGAGGCTAATCCAGTTAGTTCTTAGTTGAAGTTCGACTAGCTTGTCTTTGTTCGTATGGAAATCCCCCACTTGTACAAAATCCTCGCTATATAAGATGATGCATACCGTGGGGATTATTCATGCATCCCTCGTCGTTGTGCTGCTCGATATCCGGTACTTGATAAAGTTATATGAGACGAAGATCAATTATCCCCCACTTGTACAAAATCCTCGCTATATAAGATGATGCATACCGTGGGGATTATTCATGCATCCCTCGTCGTTGTGCTGCTCGATATCCGGTACTTGATAAAGTTATATGAGACGAAGATCAATCGAAGCCTCCATCATACACTTGGCCCCAGGCCAACGTTATCATGCGTAGATTTTCCCGGTTTCGCTGCTGGGCAAGGATTTAAGGCACCATGCGGATGAGAAACGACCACATATTTCTTTCAACTCTACGAGATTATGGAGCAGACATTTTCATAACGAGTCATGAAATAGTCTAACTCTAACAAGTGTTGGATGAGAGAAAAGGGACTCATTGTTGACCGGAATTGGGACTTACGTCTACTAAAGTGATCTCTCCATGAATGCCACATTTTATTTATTTATTGCTTTCAGGCTCGCTGATCCCTCCGAAAGAGATAACCTTGGTGCTGATCTCTCAGTCTGCAATTCAAGTGACATGGAGCTGTTCTGGCAACAGCACTACGAACTACGAGGTCATTTACCATCCGGTAGAGGCGAGGTAATCAAACTATTTCATCTATTGAAAAGTTTTCCAAGTTCTACAAAAATATGTTTCGCAAACCTCGTGAAGGTTCGGAAATAGTTCTGGTTTGTCAAATTATCGTATATATACAGTATAATCTCAAATAAAAAGTACTTCTTCGACGAATATGTTGAGCTGAAAAAAGCATATGCGTCTTGACATACGTACTGTATACTTTTCGAGGGTCCATTCATTCAAATTTAATGAAGGAAGTAAAAAATGCATCGCTGTTGAAAATCTTGGAAGTATAACTCAGCAAAGTTTAATTGGCAAAATCCTGACTATTAGTCAAAGCAAGAACCTCTTCTGAATCCGCAGATAAGTGATGTGTTTATTCGAAATTTTAATTTCTGTGAACAATTTATCAGGAAACATTTGTGTCTTTTTGTGGATTGCGACTCAAATTTAATTAGCATATTTTCAGATTTATTTGCGACCGAAACGAATTTTATTTTTATAAAGGATGCCCAAATAAATCATGGTTACACACGCGGGTCAAATGATCACGTAATTACGTTGGTTCTTTATCGTCGTTGGATGTGTGGTGAACGGCAATACAGTATATGCAAACACATCATATTGCAAACTGATGATTTTCTTATCTTGTCAGGTACAAAATTGTGTTGGAAACAGGTGCGCATTGCCAAGCAACTCTGGAACAACTGATTCCGTCCACGCGATACCAGTTGCATGTGTCCGCCCTGAACGGAAACGTCAGAAATGATTCAAGCATGATCTATTTCCGGACAGAGCCTTATGGAGGTGCGTCAGAATCCATGAAGTTTTAGATCTATTTCAGGAAAATGTGAAACGTCTTTCTTCTCAGGTTTTCGCATTTTTCTCGTTGCCACAATATATGCGTAGAATGGAAAGAAATTCCGAGCGCGGAAGTCCTTATGAGACTCCTACTATAGACTTATAATCAATGAAAGGAACTTTGGCTTTCAATTATACAATCATTTATAATTTATCAAGTTGGAACAAACGCATTGCTGAACACTGTCAGTTTATAACTATATTGAATGTCTGGGGGTGGACTGTTTTACAAGGAATATTTCAGAATTATCGTGCATATCAAATTATGCGGATACGCAGAAGCGAATCAACCACGTTCCTGTACGTGTTGTAGCTTACCTTTTCACATTTCGTCCTTCATGCGATACTTCTTACTTAATAAATTATCTTTATATAATAGGAGAGTGTTAGTAGCTAACATTGAACTTCTTATAGGAACTTATAACCGATCTAAAATCTAAGCTGTCTTTATGGATCGTAAAATCGAATTTTGGGGGAACGTTACTGATAATTAAGATGAGCGTCTTATACGAGGACGAAAATGTTTCTTAAAAATTTTAGTTGAAAAACTAAGGTGCGCATCTTATCCTCGAGGACGCGTGGTTACTCGACTAAATACAGGGTATTAATTTTATGAACTAATCATTTAATTTTACATCTAATTAAACTTGAAAAACTGACTCGCAGAGCGAATGTCTCGCCCAGCAAATTAACTTCGGTGGGGGGGGGGGGGTTTATCTTTGAAACGAATTGAGCTTGCCGGCGGCACGGGTTCGCGCCACTGATGGATTCGAGTTGGAGTGTGGTAGCAGCTGATGGTCTATAACTCTATACTGTACTGTATATGTATATACAGTATATACATGTATATATATATAAAGAGTTTAAAGACATATATATACAAGGGTTGGTTCATGAAATTTGAGACTTTGAAATAGATCCAACGGGGTTTCAACAAAAGATTTTGTAAATAAAAAATGAGCGAATTAGGGTAGTAAACCGGTGTGAAGTCATGAGAGTTTGTAAAAGTGAAGGTTAAAGTTACGTAAAAAGTACGTTCTTTAGGTTGTTAGTTTCGTCACGGTAAAATCCAGTTCCGTAATTGATTAAGCTGCTCTTTGATGGCAGAAATTAGGCTGTCTCTTTCCTCAAAATCAAATGCTTCCTGGTTGTTCTTCAGTTGTGATGAAAGCAAACAGGAGGCACAGGGTGCCTAATCAACAAATTGAACTTGATTTTCGGCACTGTTTAGATTGTTGAATTTGTTGCATGAAAAAAAAAACATTAAATTTCGCAGTGAGAGTATGCTGAACAGCACTGAAGTGTGGCCAAAGGATGGGGCTCTGCAAGTACTAAAAAAAAGGAATTTTTGAAAATTCATTGGATCTATAGCCAAACTTCTCCTAGTCAAATTTAAAGCAACCAGCAAAAAACAATTGACTTAGGGAGGTTTAGACTTGGTGGTTTAGTTATAAAGGTTTGCGTTGAGGAACCAAGGATTTTTCAAAACATAGAATTCTACAAAATTATAAATGGTGATATTCTGGGCCTTAAACTGCTTTTTATATGAGTTGAAAGGCTGCTGAACTTGGAGGGAGAGGGGTTCATTTGCCAAGTTTAGCCTTTTACTTCCTCTCAAAACACATCAAATTTATTGTT